TATGTCTACACATGTTCATGTACTGTATGTCTACACATGTTCATGTATGTCTACACATGTTCATGTACTGTATGTCTACACATGTTCATGTACTGTATGTCTACACATGTTCTTGTATGTCTACACATGTTCATGTACTGTATGTCTACACATGTTCTTGTATGTCTACACATGTTCCTGTACTGTATGTCTACACATGTTCTTGTATGTCTACACATGTTCATGTATGTCTACACATGTTCTTGTATGTCTACACATGTTCATGTATGTCTACACATGTTCTTGTATGTCTACACATGTTCATGTATGTCTACACATGTTCATGTATGTTTACACATGTTCATGTACTGTATGTCTACACATGTTCATGTATGTCTACACATGTTCATCTTGTCTTATTGTTCCCATGTTTCATCTGATCATGTCTTCACTGGTCAAGTATGTGGGTTCGATTCCCGTGGACGACTGCTGTTTGGATGACCAGATCAAACGGCTGCACACAAACCTGAAGACCCTGAAAGTGAGTTGACATGTGTCACGATGGTTAATGTGGACAGAAAACTTAAGGCGGATTGTCTGTCAGGCATGCAAGAGGAGGAGGCCGGTGTCTTTAAAGTTCTCCCTGAAAGGTGTGAAGATGTACGATGAGGATGAAACGGTAGGTGTGACTGGTTTGACTTCCATGAGAATGTCATGGTGGTGTGCAGTTTGACATCTTCTCCGTCTACAGACTCTGCTGATGGCTCACGCTTTGCGAAGGGTCTCGCTGTCCACCGCCCGCCCTGTCGATGCCCAGTTTGCCTTTGTTGCCCATAACCCGGGCAGCACGGACGTCCAGCTCTACTGTCACGTTTTTAAAGCAAGACACGCCAGAGCGGTAAGGAATCTCAACAGTTCTGGCTAAGCAGGATTTTTATTTATTTTATAGCCTTTAATTATGATTTTTCTTGGGTTTGATGTTTTCCATGACTTGAAAATTTAACCTTGTGTTTTTCTGAAAACCGTTGGCTTTGTTTTGGTCACCTAGAAGATGTGGTTTAAAACATCTTAAAGTAGAATGTTGCTTTTTCTGGGGGGGTTTTCTTAGTATTTTAGTATTAAATGAATTTCCTATCAAAGGCCCGGTCATTCATAGCAAGAGTTAGTCTACGTTGCAGCCCTCATAAGGTTTGGATCATGACCAGAAGTACAAGATCCCAGATACAATCAGCCAAAACGAGCATCAGCCCCAGAGATAGGATGAAGATCTGGTGAGAGCTCAGAGCAGTCAGTGCTCCTCTGCATCAAAATGACTCGGTTGATCTGATTAGGATGCCACCTAATGGCATCAAAGGAGGGCCCTTTGAAGATTTTTCAGAGATGCCCCACTTGGAAGAGACCCCGAGGCAGACCTAGAGTTTGCTGAAGGAATTGTATATCTTTTCTGGCCTGGGAACACCTTAGGAGTCCTCAGGAGGAGCTGGAGAGCGAGATGTTTCTGCCCCTGCGGCCCAACGGCACACAAGTAAAGTGCTATGTGTGATCATCATTGTATGTTCCCATACAAAGACGAAATTGGTTCTCTACATTTAACCCATTGCACCTGGGATACACCCAGGTGGAGCAGTGGTCCTGCTCAGAGACACCACGAGATGTGCAATGACGGGGGAACGAACCCAGGACCTTGGGGTCCTGAGTCGACTGCCCTGCCCCTACAAGTGGTAGAAGATGGAGCTCTCAATGCAGAAATGTAAAGAATATTATTTATTTTCAAATCTACAGTGCATAATACTGTGGAAAGATTCAGAGTCTTGAGTCCAGATATCTACAGTATTTGTGATGATCAAGATTAGAAACTCTGGTGGATGTATCGGATGGCTCCATATTAGATCACAGAGTTGACTGTCATTGTGCTGGTGAAGATTCTCAGTCATCCAGGACATGATGAATTCAAAAAGCGTTCAATCCAAAAACAACTGGACTTTATTTGTAACAGAAGACGTTTCGCTCCTCATCAGAGGCGCTTTCTCAATTCAGAGCAGAGAGTGAGAGATTTATTAAGGTCATCGTCTTTCTTTTTGTTGTTGTTGTCTAAAGCCCCCAGTATACTCCCGCGTACGTCCATACGCAGAGGCGCGCACATATGTACGTGGAGGTACGAGCGTACCACCCAGGGCATGTCCGTGCAAAGCTCAATTTTTACGAACGTGTACACGGTGTCGCACAATAAACTGCCCGGCGACGGACTGTTTTGTATGTGACACCAACGTATTAAATTCCCCTTCTTCATCCTGATCTGACCTTTTCTTTTGTTTGTTTTTTGCCAAGAGGCAGTGATCTCTTCTTCTCCGTTGATGCCATGACTGAAATGGTGAGAAATGAAGGAATTTGTCACAAGCGAATTAAACTCAGGTCCAGCGTGGCTGCGGGAGGGTCTGGAGAGTTCCTGGTGGACTGGTCTGATGTGTGGGCTGTAGGGCCAGCGCTCCCTGTTTTTTTTTTTTTTTTTTTTTTTTTTTAAGAACTTTTTATTAACAACTTATAAACACAGAACACCACTGTGACTGAGGCTCCCAGTGCTCGTTTTTTTTCCCCTGACCTGTCAATCAATCCAGTAGGCGTGTCAGCAAATGACCAATCAGCGACCTCAATTTGTCCCGAAGGTAAACGCCCCTTGTCTGTGAAGCTGCTCGGGGTGTACGCTGGAGTACGAAGTCTGAACCCTCTGCGTACAGTGCACACGTATGTACGTGTGAACGGACATACGCGGCAGTATACTGGGGGCTTGAGGTTTTCTGAAGTTGGTTAGCTAAGGTGGCCATCTTAAATCAAGGTGGCCTTTGGCAGCAGCAGGCCATAAATATAAACAGACTGTTGAGTAACTGAGATCTTGTAAGAAATTGTCAAAGATTCTTCCTGCAAACTGCAACAAATATCCCAGTAAACTTTTTTTTTTTTTTTGCATAAAAGCTGCAGACTCTAAAAATTAAGCCATGAAAGCCAAGCTCATCCCCCATTCAGGTGCAATCTGAGAAATGGGACGTCCTTCGCTAAATTGATCAGTAAATGGTAAATGGACTGTACCTATATTGCACCTCTCTAATCAAGATACTCGAAGCGCTTTACACAACAATCTGTGCCTCCTTTACCTCCACACATTCATACATCACTCTACTTCATCTCTACAAAGCTAATCTGAACAAATTTTTCTATAGAGACTAATCAGTGCTTTAGATCACATTTCTACACCAATGGGACACACATTGGAGGCGATGAGGGGTTCAATGTCTCACCCAGGGACACTTCAACATTTGAGTAATGGTGGAATCGAACCCCCAGCTCTCCCATTGGAGAACGACTGCTCTAACCACTCAGCCACAGCCGCCCCTTAATACCAGTGAGATTAGTATTGTGGTATTATTGATAGCACTTAATTTAATCTTTGTTTCATCTCCTCCTCTCTCCTACAGGCTCAGTTCCTGAACCTGCTGCTGTGCCGCTGTTTCCAGTTGTCCTACTTGGAGAAGCACCCAGAAGAAGCACAAGAAGAGGAGCCCGTTGGCTCTTTGCTTCAGCGAAACCACTCACTGCTCAACCATGGCTTCCCTCTAAGCGTCAGTGCTCTGGTTTCCTTTAGAAGAGCTCCTTTTCGAGGATTTTTGCATTTCTCAAAGGTTTGGAGTGGCATGCCCACGTCTTCTTTTTCTCTTAAAAAACAGGGTTTAGTCTTAAGCACCAAGATGGTTTTGTATTTTATAGAAAACTAAGAATTCTTCCAACTGTCTGCAAACCAACCAAGATGAAGTATTTTCGACCTCCTCGCCCTCTCTGATGCGTAAGAAAGTCATCCGCACCAAAGGACTGCGTTCTGGTGCTTACCGCTCCTTTACTTCCACGCCGCTCAAACAGCACAGTCTTCAGGAGCGACTGAGTGAGTCACAAGGTGGGCCGAGTGTTTACAGGGCGCTGTCAAGATTCAAAGAATTGATTAGGTAAAGCAAACCGTCCGGTGTCTTGTTCAGGGTCGTCACTAGTTGTTGTGGTGTGATGTAGAAGGTCCCGTCTCACGTGGGTTGTAATAAATCTCCTGTTTAGTTTCCGCTCACTAAAGCACAGGTTTCCCAATGAAATGTTATACTGAAGGTGGAATAGCTTCTTTTCGTTTTCTTTTGAGATGAAAATAAACGGTCACGGTCATTTTTCTTCCTATACTTTTCTACGAAAACAGGAAAAAATCAAGGCGACGTGACAGTGCGGAGATCCAGGATTCCAAGTTTAGCGGAGACGGAGGAAGCGCTGGCTCAAGCTGTGTGGTGCTGGGCTGGCGTCGCAACGTCAGTGTTCTGCACGTCCAACATCTTCTCTCCACAGTTTTCCTTATGTTAATCAATAAATGGTTTTCTCTCTGGTGTTACAGTGACAGCTGCTGCTCCCTCCTTGCAGATGACGTCCTGGGATCCTATCTTCTCTGCCCACATCCTAAAAAGTCCAACTGTGGATCTCTCATCATCCGCTTGTCTTCCGGCCTGATCACCTACCTCATAGAAAACACTCGAAAAGGAAAGTTTTTGCTGCAGGTAATAGTTATGGCATGTTAGTCTCTGCACAAGTTTAACAGCCAATTGTAAAAGGTAAATGTTTGTTTAGATTTTTAAAAGAAACCATATTAGAAAATGTTGACTAAACTGTAGATGAAGATTAAACCATTGAAGCGTTGGTTGTTTCTGTGAAAATCCATCAAGCTAAATTTGTATTTTGAGTACAACATTCAATAACATACATGTTGTAGCATCAAAGTCCATGCTCGATAATCCAGGTAAAAAACATTCCACAAAGTTCAGTCAGATCATCTGGACATTGGATCTTTTTTTGGAGATGTTTCATCCTTCATCCAGAGGACTTCGTCAGTCCAAAGAGCCACAGCAAACTCCCATAGTGGACCAACCAGTTTGCTGGTGATAAGATGGTTTCTGGGGTCCACCCTCTCCCCTGTTGATTTTGTGTTGAAGTCCTTTGGATAAGATCAAAACGTCTCAACAAAAAAAAGAAACCATCCAGAGGACCTGACTGAACTTTGTTGGATTTTTTTAATCTGGATTATTGAGCATGAACTGTGATGTTGTGAACCACTATGGCTGCCTCAGAGGAGTTGACTGGGTTGACCCCAGAAACCATCTTATCACCAGCAAACTGGTTGGTCCACTGTTAGTCTGCTGTTTGTGGGACTGAGTTGTTGTGGCTCCTCGGACTGATGAAGTCCTTTGGATGAAGGATGAAACGTTTCAACAACCAGAAAAAGAAATGGTCCAGATGACCTGACTGAACTTTGTTGGCTGCATTATTAAACCTTTGTTTTATTTTATTAATCTCTTTTACAAGGATGTCCTGGGCAATATGCAAAATACACATACATACATACATACATACATACATACATACATGTAGCTTTTTGTGGACCAGTTGTTGAACTAAAACAACTGTCAAGACAAACATTTCTGTGAACAATAGTTCTAGTATTTTGGCAGTCATTTTTTTTGTGTCTTTTATTGCAGAAATGCAAGACAGAATTTACTACTGTCGGTGAGCTGATTGAATATTACTCCCAGACGCTGGATGAGCTGCCGTGTCTGCTGAGCTGTGCCCGGGTCAACCACTGCTATGAGTGGGAGGAACACGCCAACACTCCGCAGGCCCCAAAGATGCACAAGAACTCGCACAAAGCCAAAACTTAAAGTACTTCCAGAAACAAACGGGTGTTAGCCCCTTTCACAGGGACATGTGGATTACCAGTTTCAAAATGAGTGACTCATTCATTTCTTTTGCACATTTATTATTTTGTTTTGTGTTTTACTTTAAAATCACATTGTGTTACGGGGGCGATTCACTTACTGCATTTATCAGTGTTGGCACTTGTATATAGTATGTACATGTATATAGTTCCACTAACAAGTACATTTAGCTTGTTTGTCAGACAGACCATTGTGTACTAGCTGCTTTATGATTTTTAAAGATATTGTTATGTGCTTGTAAAGCATCAAGTGTTTACAATTGTTTTTTTAGGTATGGAACCACTGCAATAACTCGATATGTTGTGTGAATCTGATGGCGAAGACCAAACTTTTCTTTTTTTAATCTTTTAATGATGTCATAACAGTATTTTATCATACTTTGCTCAAACTTTAAATCTTGTCTATATGACTTGTGTTTTTTAAGAAAATGTCAGCAGAGAAAGCTGCTGTTTTAAATTTTTAGCTCATAAACTTTTAGTTTTACAGCAGAAGGTTGTTTCTGGCGAGCTGTTTCCACGCAGCAGTTTTATTCTTCACCTGCCTGACAATAAACGACACTCTTCAGTTCACATGCCATTAAAAAAAACGGTGTCCTATCTTTATGAGAACATTTACCGCTTCGTTTTTGTACAAAATGGCATCTTAAATTAATCCACACGATTTTGCATTTTACTTAAAAATCATGTATTGAACTTACATTGAGGTTGTATTCCAACATAATTCACATTTCATAATAAAAAAAGACTCATAATCTAGCCAATACTGGCCACATAAAAAAAACAAACTGGTTAATCAATTTAGCAGGTAGGAAAATGATGTAGCAGCAGCAGCTGAATAGCCCACAATCAAGTTTTATATTTATTTATTCAAGAATGTTCTGTTTTTATATTTTTATGTCAGCCATAGAAATAACTCATGGATCGATCCATAAGCATTATTAATTCTCAGTTAAGGAGAATACAAAAGCAGTCATTTTTAAAATCTTTTAACTACTTGAATAAGAAACTTCAAATTAAAGCTCAGCTTAAAGTTAATTTCTTAATTGTGTTTAGCTAACTGGCTAAAATATAAATGAAAATACTTTTTTATTTTCCTGATTTAACAAACTCAAATCTGATATTAAATATCATAAAGCATCTTTCTGCCATTTATTATATTGAAAAAGTAGATACAGTATAAGAAAAAAATTAAGATAATCTGACCACAAATAGTGAAGAATATTGTTTACGCATCAGCAAAGCTAGGCAATTTTGGTGTACTGTATATTATAATTTCCACTTATTTTTATGAAAAGATGAGTGTAGTACTTAGCCATCTAGGTTTTACTTGGTGTCCAAGGACACTGCATATAATTAGTAATTCATTCAAGTCCATTAGGCTTTGGTTCAGGAAAAGATGAAACTCAGGGACTCTATTGAAACTAAATCTGGTCATGACATCTAAAAATGCTGCAATAAATAAAACACGAGTCTGTAAGCCTAATTATAGGAAATGGAAATAATAGACAAAACATTTATGGTATCTCTCGGCTCTCCAAAATGGCTGCCGCTTTGGTCTTTTAAAAAATATACATATTTTACTTGAACGGTCATCAGAGGTTATGCTGGTGAAGATTCTCAGTCATCCAGGACATGATGAATTCAAAAAGCGTTCAATACAAAAACAACTGGACTTTATTTGTAACAGAAGACGTTTCGCTCCTCATCTGAGGAGCTTTCTCAATTCAAAGAGCAGAGAGTGAGAGATACAGGTTATAAGGCTGAGTGTGATAAGACACACACACACATAAGACACACACACACACACATATGTAGATTTGACAAGTCACACCTCAACACCTTAACAGTAGGGGTTTATTAAGGTCTTTGTTTCTCTAATTCACAGACGAGGCCCCTCTGTTCCCATCAGGTGTGAAAACCAGCTGGGAATCTGTTTTGAAGTTGCATTATATGTTTTTGAAAGTGGAAATCTGAGGCCTCCTCCTCTGTTAAGAGACGGCTTTTCTCTTTTTACATAAATTGCTTCCTTCACCTCCACATCTGTGTTCTCGGTCCAAAATGTGCACGTTTTGGTCCTCAACAGAGTGTCCCTTATCTGTGAGGTGGAGGTGAACAGCTGAGTCTTGTCCTGAGGAGGTGGCTCTCCTGTGTTGAGCCATGCGTCTGTGAAGAGGCTGTTTAGTTTCTCCAGTGTAGAGGTCTGGACAGTCCTCGCTGCACTGGACCGCAGACACTACACCACTCTGTTTGTGTATGGGTGTCTTGTCCTTAGGGTGGACCAGCCTCTGTCTGAGAGTCCTGCTGGGTTTGAAATGTACTGGGATGTTGTGTTTGTTGAAGATCCTTCTGAATTTCTCTGATACTCCAGCAACATAAGGGATGACAATGTTTTTCCGTCTGTTGTTCTCCTTTTTCTGTTTATTAGTGTGTTTTGTAGATTTCCTCGCTGACTTGACAAAAGCCCAGTTAGGATATCCACATGTTTGAAGAGCTTCTTGAATGTGTTTCAGTTCCTTTTCCTTACCTTCTGTCTTCGTGGGGACGCGTTCGGCCCGATGTAAAGTTCTGATGACAGAGAGTTTGTGCTCCAGTGGATGGTGGGAGTCAAACAGAAGATACTGGTCTGTGTGGGTTGGTTTTCTGTACACTTCAATGTTGAGGCTGTCCTCTCTCTCCATCTGAACCAAACAGTCCGAAAAAGGCAGCTTGTTGTTGTTTGCATCCTCTCTGGTGAACTTGATGTTGTTATCGACCGAGTTAATGTGTCTGGTGAACGCTTCTATTTCCTTAGCTTGGATTTTGACCCAAGTGTCATCCACATAACGGAACCAATTGGCTTGGCGTTGTTCCCTCATAGGAGTGTAGGGCTCTCTGTTCCACTTCCTCCATGTAGAGATTGGCAACAATGGGTGACACTGGAGATCCCATGGCACAGCCATGCTTCTGTCTGTAAAAACTGCCATTGAACTTGAAATAAGTGGTGGAGAGGCAGAGATCCAACAGGGTGCAGATCTGGTCTGGGGTGAAGTTGGTCCTGTTGATTGAGTCCTTGTCTTGTAGAAGTTGTTTTCTGACGGTTTCTACTGCTTCAGAGATGGGTATGCATGTGAAAAGAGAAGTCACATCATACGATACAAGGGTTTCTCCTGGGGTTAGTTTCAAGTGTTGAACTTTGTTAGCAAAATCAATGGAGTTCTTTATGTGATGAGGTGTGTTTCCAACAAGAGGAGCTAAAATACCAGCTAGATGTTTAGCAATATTGTATGTCACTGAGTACATGCTGCTGATGATGGGTCTGAGTGGTGTTCCTTCTTTGTGTATTTTAGGAAGTCCATAAAGACAGGGAGTGGCTTCCCCTGGGTACAATCTATAATACAACGATCAATCGATTGTTTTCTCCTTTTCAAGTTTTTTTCATTTGAAACTAACCCCATCCAGGTTTTTATGTCTTTAAGACATGCTTGTAGTTTAAGTAGCTGATTGGATTCATTGGGTTTCATGGACAAATATAACTGTGTACTGTATGTGTGTATGTAACTGTGTGTATGTTTACATCATAAAAATATAGTTTTTATGATACATTTATCATTCAACCTGCTTCTGTGCTATATAACTACGCAGCAGATGTCTCTGTGTTGTTTGAACAGTTTTATCTGACTAAAAGTAAAGATTTAAGAAAAATTCCACCCATCCCTCCCTTCCTGCAGGTCCCAGGACACCAACCAGTTAATTTTTTACCTTGTCAGCTTTGGCAGATGCAACAACCAGCTCTTTCGATAGCTGCGTCACAGACTCGCCAGCTTCCTTCAGCTTGTCCAGTCCTGAAAATCAGTAAATTCCTTTCCGTGAGAAGACTCTGGAAATCTTTCATCACATCATTAAGTCTTTACAGAATGCCACTTTAACTTTCTTACCGACATTCATGCGCTCAGCTAATGTGTTGATATAGTTGTACTTTTCAGTGTATAACATTTTGTAACCATTTATAAAGATAGGTAAGATTTGGGAGTGACGTGAGATCTCCTTCGGAATCTAAAAAATAAATGTCATAGCACCTTAAAAAGAGATATTTTGTATATGTGAGAAAATATACAATAAATCTTTACAAAGCAAATATTTGAATATATAAATGTGCTACATTTCAAAGTACGAACTGGATTCCAAAAAAGTTGGGACACTAAACAATTTGTGAATAAAAACTGAATGCAATGATGTGGAGGTGCCAACATCTAATATTTTATTTAGAATAGAACACAAATCACAGATCAAAAGTTTAAACTGAGAGAATGTATCATTTTAAGGGAAAAATCTGTTGTTTCCAAATTTCATGGCGTCAACAAATCCCAAAAAAGTTGGGACAAGTCCATTTTTACCACTGTGTGGCATCCCCCCTTCTTCTTCCAACACTCAACAGACGTCTGGGGACAGAGGAGACCAGTTTCTCAAGTGTAGAAATAGGAATGCTCTCCCATTCATGTCTAATACAGGCCTCTAACTGTTCAATCGTCTTGGGCCTTCTTTGTGGCACCTTCCTCTTTATGATGCGCCAAATGTTCTCTATAGGTGAAAGATCTGGACTGCAGGCTGGCCAGTTCAGTACCCGGATCCTTCTCCTACGTAGCCATGATGTTGTGATTGCTGCAGAATGTGGTCTGGCATTATCGTGTTGAAAAATGCAGGGTCTTCCCTGAAAGAGATGACGTTTAGATGGGAGCACATGTTGTTCTAGAACCTGAACATAGTTCTCTGCATTAATGGTGCCTTTCCAGACATGCAAGCTGCCCATGCCACAAGCGCTCATGCAACCCCATACCGTCAGTGATGCAGGCTTCTGAATGGAGCGTTGATAACAACTTGGGCTATCCTTGTCCTCTCTGGTCCGGATGACATGGCGTCCCAGTGTTCCATAAAGAACTTCAAATCGTGACTCATCTGACCACAGAACAGTCTTCCATTTTGCCACACTCCATTTTAAATGTCCCCTGGCCCAGTGCAAACGTCTGAGCTTGTGGAGCTTGCTTAGAAATGGCTTCCTCTTTGCACTGTAGAGTTTCAGCTGGCAACGGCGGATGGCACGGTGGATTGTGTTCACTGACAATGCTTTCTGGAAGTATTCCTGAGCCCATTCTGTTATTTCCTTGACAGTGGCATTCCTGTTTGAGGTGCAGTGACGTTTAAGGGCCCGGAGATCACGAGCATCCAGTAGAGTTTTACGGCCTTGACCCTTACACACAGCAATTGTTCCAGATTCTCTGAATCTTTTGATGATGTTATGCACGGTTGATGATGATAACTTAAAAGTCTTTGCTATTTTATGCTGGGTAACACCATTCTGGTATTGCTGCACTATCTTTCTGCGCAACAATGGTGGAATTGGTGATCCTCTTACCATCTTGGCTTCTGAGACACTGACACTCTGAGAAGCTCTTTTTATACTCAATCATGTTGTCAATTGACCTAATTAGTGTTAATTGGTCTTCCAGCTGTTCGTTATATGCTCAATTTCCTTTTTCCAGCCACTTATTCCTACTTGTCCAAACTTTTTTGGGATTTGTTGACACTGTGAAATTTTGAATCAACATATTTTTCCTTCAACATGTTACATTTACTCAGATATGTTATATTACAAATAAAATATTGACATTTGCCATCTCCACTTCATTGCATTCAGTTTTTATTCACAATTTGTTTAGTGTCCCAACTTTTTTGGAATCCGGTTTGTAACTTTCACAGGCATCAGATACTTTATCATGATAAGTTCCCATGATGGTCTTCAGTGAGGTCTTCACATCAGCAGAGCAAGCCACGGGAAATTCTGATAAGAAATGGCTGGACACAGCATCAAGAGCTTCTTTGGGCCAAGGACTGAACCAGTCCATTGTACAGCCAGAAATCAATCCTGGAAATTTCAGGTACCTGGAGTGAAACTTCTGTTCCACCTGTAAGAAAAAAGCAGAATATAACCCTACTAAAATATTTTGTTCAATTTAAAAGAAAGTATTTCTGTACTGCACTATACAAAGCAATGCCATACTATAATAACGTCCTTCTGTCCACAGTACATGAACAGAAAAACATGAAATAAAAAGTACAAGAACGTAGAAATATTACTTTTGGGACAAAAATATGCAAAGGTTGAATTCACCGGTGAGAAGCAAAGAACAACATGCAGATTCTTTTTTTGCCCGAGATATAAAATATTCATAAAGGTTGTCAAAAGTTGGTGGAATGCGAGGATACTCTTTTTTTTTTTTTTTTCATATGTGGAATAAGATTCTGAGTGATTTCATCTTTAGGAAAAAGATTGGAGAGCTGCACAGTTCATTCAGATGAAAGTAAACACCATCAGGACCAGAAAGGGCTTTGAAGCCCAGTTCAGGTTAGAACAGGAGCTTAAAAATGTGTTCTCACCTCTCCAGACGAAAGGACATTGTTGAGGTATTCAAGGAAGGCCTCATCCTTGTCATTGTCAGTAAAAATGAAGGTGATGCCTTTGCCCTCGGCCCCAGCTGTTGTACAACATTTTGAGGTCATCCGTGAAATTATTCATGTTGTATGTTCTAAAAAAAACAAACAGCACATCAAATAAAAACTGGCCCAGGATTTAATTTTGGGTATGAATGCAGTGAATCAGCTGGAAGTGATTACAAACACTGTTCTGCAAAGAGCCCCTGAAGGTAAAGAAATACCTAATAAAGAACCTCTATGATGGTTTAAACTCAGAGGTTCCCAATCACCAGTCCAGCAACCAGTACCAGGCCTTGGCTCGTTTTGTATCGGGCCACAGAGAAAGAAAAGATCTATTTTTAGAATATTATTTCAATTTCCATTAAGCTGCACGATATTTCATTTTGAAAATCAATCATTTCTGACCGTGCGATTTTAGTGCTTGGCTGTCTTGTTTTTTTTTTCCATGTAAGCTCTCAAACCAACTTCAGCAAAATGAAAAAACAATGGAGCTACTAGTGAAATTATGGGTTCGTACCACCAGGTGAGTCGTTCTGAGCGCTCTCTGTGTGATACGTGCTTCACCACATGGACACTCATCATTAAAAGACAAGCTTTTGGAATTTTTTTGAACGGATAAACAGCGAATACAAAAGTCAAAAACTGTTGGTGAAGGCCGCTGCTTCATTAAATGTATCAGAACTGAGAACCTCATATTTAGTGGCTAACTGCATTGCTAAGGAGTTGCTTTATATTCAATTTTATATTGAATAAAACAGAAAATATTATTACAGTAGTCCCTCGATTATCGTGGGGGTTACGTTCCAGACACCATCGCAATACCATAGATAGATAGATAGATAGATAGATAGATAGATAGATAGATAGATA